TTGTAAAGAGAAAGTCCGTAGGCCGTTAGCCCAATACTGTTACTTGACTGATATGCCCAATCTAACTGATACCTCTTTCCATGCCCCAGACAATCCTTCAGCACTCCAACGCCTAACCCACTATTATAATATTGCTGTTGCTTTCGCTTTTCGTCGATTTCTCTCCCGTTGTCGTTCTATTTCTATAGGTCTTCAGAAAATGTTATTAAATAATCTAAACTTCTTTTTCACCTTCATTCTAAAATATTTATACTATATAGTACACAGTGATTTTCTTTTCAGACGCATCTAAACCAACTCAAAAGTAAAAACATTAAAATACTAATTCCCTTAGATAATGATAAAATTTCAAATGTAATTTAAACGAACTTATCACCATTCACCAATGACAAAGTTTAAGTGTCCAAGAGAACCGGTCAAAGTTCAAACTATGACAGAGCCCATTAAAAAAAACAAGAGAAGAAGATCACACATTTCTTAGGAAAAATCCTAGGAAGCCTCCCAGAAGGAAATCACCACCTTCCTGGAACCTGAAATGTGGATGTCTTTCTGTAAGAAATCAATCGTCAAACTGGCTGCTTGCCGCCATAACCAAACCACAACGAATCCCTAGTGCTTTTGTCAAGTTTCGTTGCCAAAAAGTCAAATCCATTCATCCAAATAATTACCCCATGCGTAACTACACCTCTCTAACTATTTCCTCCTCATCATTTTTTCATCACCACTTCCATGACCACCAAACTCTAACTCTAACTCTAAGATGTCAAATTTCCAATTCCTTTTCATCTTCTTTTTCATTTTACACTTAACGGAGTTGCCAACTGTTGTTACGGCGCAGCAGACTGCTAATGGCAACGTTTCATGCCCGCTTGATTTTAACGTTTTGCGTCCGATAATCACCGGGTCGATCCCTCCCAACATGGACGTTTTAGCTAAGTGTCAGTATATCCGACAAGGGCTCCGACTCGTCTTGTCTCATTACCTCCGACGCAGTGACAATTTTTTGCCTCCACTCAACTCGTCCGAGTCATGCTGGCAAGCTTACCAAAACCTTACGAAAGATTTTCTGCCGAATTTCGATATCCGATCGCGTTGCGGGTATGAAACGAGTTGGATATCTCAAGGGTGTATGAACATCACAACGAAATCGCAGTTCGAGAAGCTGATTTCGAAGACTGATTTAAATAACGTCGTTTCCAGCTGTAACCAGTCGCTGAAAAACAGTGCTCCCTGTGCGTCTTGTACGACGAGCACGTCCAACTTTCTTGCGTCGTATTTGACGGGAAATTCAACTGGGAACCTAACCGATTGCGGGGCGTATCCGTCGATTTATGCGGCAGCGGTTGCAAATCAGTTTGGACCCACCGATGAAGGTACTAGCAGCTGTTTGTTTGGGCTTGGTTCCAGTGGATCGAAAAAGGGTAGTGAAAAGAAAAAAGTTGTGATTATTGTTGTTTTAGTTGTGTGTGGTATTGGGTTGCTGCTGATTCTTACTGGGGTTTGGTTTTTATGGCATAAGCGTGTGATCTTAAAAAGAAAAATGAAGCAGAGAGACGCCAGTAATAATGTTGAAATGGGATTGGATTCCTTCAGTGAGAGTACCCATTTGGTTAGGTTCACATATGATGAGATTAAGAAAGCAACAAGGAATTTCTCTAGGGACAATATAATTGGGAGAGGAGGGTATGGTAATGTTTTTAAGGGGGTTTTGCCTGATGGGTCTGAGGTTGCTTTCAAGAGGTTCAAGAATTGTTCTGCGTCAGGTGACGCCAATTTTACTCATGAGGTAGAGGTTATTGCCAGCGTTAGGCATGTCAACCTTGTGGCTTTGAGAGGGTATTGTATTGCCACAACTCCATTAGAGGGTCACCAGAGAATTATCGTGTGTGATTTGATGACGAACGGGAGTATTTATGATCATTTGTTTGGTTCTGTGGAGAGTAAGCTCAGTTGGCCTATTAGGCAGAAGATTGCTCTAGGAACGGCGAGAGGATTGGCTTATATGCATTATGGTGCACAATCAACAATCTTTCATAGGGATATTAAAGCTAGTAATATACTCTTGGATGAGAAATTTGAGGCCAAGGTAGCAGATTTTGGACTTGCCAAGTTTCCGCCTGAGGGCATAACTCATTTGAGTACTAGGGTGGCTGGGACGATGGGATATGTTGCTCCTGAGTATGCCTTGTATGGGCAATTAACGGAAAGGAGTGATGTGTACAGCTTTGGTGTTGTGCTTCTTGAACTTTTGAGTGGTAGGAAGGCGCTTGTCTTGAACGAAGATAATCAACCATCTCTTGTGACAGACTGGGCATGGTCATTGGTGAGGTCGGGGAATGCTCTAGATGTTATAGAGGATGGTATGCCAGAGTTGGGAACTCCAGAAATTCTGGAGAAGTATGTATTGATTGCTGTTCTTTGTTCTCACCCACAGTTATATGCTAGGCCAACAATGGATCAGGTTGTGAAAATGTTGGAAACAGAGTTGTCTATTCCATCAATCCCAGAACGACCGATTTCTATTGTAGCTGAGATGGATGAGATTGAGAGATCTGTGAGCAGTAGTGGCTCAGGTGTGCTCTCTAGTTCTGCTGGCTTCCAGCCATTTATTGAAACTGATCGCTCTTCTGGTCACAGGGAAGAAAGGGAAAGTTCTGATTCCAGAAATTTAGAATTGTTATAAAATACATGGTTTGACCACAGTTCATTTGAACTCAACAATGGAGTTTCCACTGATTGGTATGCTTACATAGGAGCATTTGTCGGTTTATTTTTCATGCTTCCTGAATCTTGAATCATGTTCCACATTGTAAAGATAATTGTATGTATAATTTATTAATTCTTTTGATTCTAGGGGAAATATACTATCGTAACAGATTTTATAATCCAAAGTTCTCTGCTCTTATTATTATTTTCTTATTTCATAAGAAGGGCCATCTAGTACTNATGTTCCACATTGTAAAGATAATTGTATGTATAATTTATTAATTCTTTTGATTCTAGGGGAAATATACTATCGTAACAGATTTTATAATCCAAAGTTCTCTGCTCTTATTATTATTTTCTTATTTCATAAGAAGGGCCATCTAGTACTAGGGCCTTCATGAATAGAAAACTTGATGACGCAAAAATCAAAGAATTGCATGTCACCTTTCTCTGGTATATGGCAAAATCTCACGTGATGTTTCATGTTTCGCCAAAAATGGATCGGGCTGTGAAAATTTTGTATAAGGTCATTGAAAATTCTCCTGATCTCTTGCTGCAATTTTTGCTATAATGAGGGTGTTTTGACATTGAGAATCTGTGTGGCCTCAATGAGCTTGCATTTGCCTTGCTTGTAGGTGTATTACTCTATAGCATATATGGGGAAAGGTGATTTCTTTTGGCTGACTGCTGCACCTTTCTCCGGAAAGGAGGAGGATTCAGAGGCTGAATTTGAATAAAATTGAATTGATGTACTTAACATGGTGAGTGGCCTGAGATACAAGTCCTATGACTTCTTTGTGCTTAGTTAGAGTGTGTGTTGATTTGATGAGTTGATCAGGTTCTGGTTCTGATGGGGACAACTGTTGGAAATATCGTCCAATTTCTCCATGTGGATGTGCTAAGTTGCTTCATATTCTTCTCTCAAGTGTTTTTCAGTTAAAAAGGCAAAACACCTTCACTCTATCAAACTCAGATGTAGCTGAATTTAACACTCCTTGTCTACGTGGGAATATACCATTTTCGAATACTGAATTTAACCTCATTAAATTAAATATTACCACATGCCTAAAGAGAACTGCCAATTTTGTACAAATCAAGCACATCAATTCGTGGCTGTACTCTCAATGGATCACTGTAATTGTAATTGATGTTTTTGGCAAGATACGTACGTTGAATCATCTTTCACATGGCTAGAGATCATCTGATTCTGATCGGGACAATAACAAAACGAATTTTAATTTATTAAGCTAACATAAAACCACCCACGTAATCTCAAACAAACAAATACGCTTTCCCGATGTACGAGGCATCATCCACCTACCTTCATCGTTAAATTATTCGCTACGTAATTAGCTTTATCTTCTATTAATCTGGATTTGGACAAATTTAAAAAAAAAAAAAAAAAAAGTTTGACCCATCAATGAAGATTCTGCAGACAGTTACACATAATAATAAAAGACCTGTTGTGAAGGAGAAGCCATTCACGTTTCTCTTGTCAATATATAAAGCCGGCCCTTTTCATTACCAAATACCAACAATATGTATGACAAAAGAGCTTTCGTATATTGAATAATGAATACAGATTCTATACATAGATGGAGAGGCGATGGTGAAGTATTATGTGCTAATAAAATTCAACTTGTCGGTTACTGTATATTCAACCTGTCACCCTCAGAACCAAAGAAAAAGGAACTGGAGCTACCAATCAAAGCTGGAATGATTAAACTTCCGGTCAAATAAAATGTTAGTTGAATGCTAGATTTTCTGGTGAAATAAGAATAATAATCAGATTTATTTCTCAAAATTCTATCCGGCATCAGCCAAGTAGACAAGAGACTCAAAAGCGATGGGATTTTTTAGTCACAGCGAGGGCCACACACAATTGACTAGTCTGAGCCTTGAGGTGCCAAAATGGACCCAAATAGCAGCTAATCAGTTCCAGACTTGCTTATAATTTAAAAACAATAATAAGTAAACAGAGTTCAAAGACAAGTGGAAGTATACAAACAAAATTTGAATAGTACAATTTTATCCTTCTTTGCTGTGCAACTCTTGGGGCAAAGTATTAAAAACCAGCTGATGCTGTACAGTTGTGTTTATTTGTACGTTAATAAAATTTATCAAGTAAGAACAAGGACTTTTGTTTAAAAAATTACTTTTCTATCATATGATTTGATGGAGTTAAGTTCTTAGCCTTCCTCCTCCGTTCATTTCTTGTATTAGTTTTCGTGCAAACGACAAACTACATCAGTTGAGCTACTTATCAGACGTTTTTTCTGTAGATATAGTGTTAAGAGCACATGGTGCCATTGAAGATCCAAATGAATAATAATAAATAAAAAAGTCTATACTTGTTTGATGTGTACGGTGTTACTGTTTTAGTGCATTAATTCTTATGAAATCATGAAGGAATTTTGGGAGGGGAACTAATTACTGCATAACTACCTATAAGTTCACAAAGGGTATTGTTTAGGTGAACTTTTCAGCCTTCTATATATATATATATTGCACTAAATGGTGTCCATCCAAGAAAATTAGATAGAGAGTAGAGACTCCCTTGCTTCCATTTTTTGCAAATCTTCTTTATCTTGAAAACATTTCTTTGAACTTCTTCTCTTTGCCAAATTTATAGACATCTTGGAAGTTAAATAAGCAGCATGGCCATCAAAGAGGAATATGGTAACGACGGTTTGAATGAAAATATAAGAGAACCGCTTATGCAGGGAGAGAAGGATATAGCTGATGAAGGAGGTGGATCCGGTGCTGAAAAAAGCAGCAAAGGAAAATTATGTATGGTTTACTTCAGCACATTCGTCGCAGTGTGTGGTTCTTATTCATTTGGATCTTGTGTAAGTACAGTCTTTCTACTACTGAGAAGATTATATTCTAACTGTCACAAGGGACATACAATTTATAAACCAACTACTGAAACAAAACATTATTCTACTGTTTAGAAGATTATATTCTAACTGTCACAAGGGACATGCAATTTATAAACCAACTACTGAAACAAAACATTTATTCTACTGTTAGACATGTATAACAAGTAAATGTTTGGTACTGGAGTTGTGTTGTGTAACTGTTCATTGGTATTCAGGCAGGCTATTCATCTCCTACTCAGGATGCTATCAGGGAAGATCTTTCTCTATCTCTATCAGAGGTATATTATTACCGAGTTCTCTTTTTACTTTGAAAGCGCTTAACTTACGCATGTTATGAAGTAAGAATTATGAGTTTGGTATTCCTATGTAGTCATGTGTAGAAGATTTAACTTAACTAATGCTTGCAAAATGCCCTGGAAACTGATAATGCCTTGTCTCATGAAATTTATATGAGCTGGAATTAGTGATATTAGTCTCCTTCAGTATCCTTTTCATGGAGCCCAAGACAGAGCTCTGAACTATCATTGAGTAAGCTCCAGAAGGTGGACCATTATCAGGCCTTCTGTGAGGTACTCCCAGACAGATATAGTGACAAAAACAGGTCTTGAGAATAATCAAAGTTCATGAGTGAGTTAAAATTTTGAAGTTGTTTGGGAGTATAATTGAAGTTGTAGAGATATCGACATGGGTAGCCTTAGATTTAGATAGAGAACAACTGGAAGATAATAATTTAATTGGCAGGGAATCGTTGCTCATTAGCTGCTTTTCTAATCTTCAAAAGATTGTTGAAAACTAATTAAATTTACTGTAGTTTCTCTCTTTTTCTTTTTTTACCAGAAGAGAGCATATGACACAAATGTAGGCAGAAATGTAGCATAATTCTTTGCATGGCAGATTAGATCCACCCTAAGTTAACTAATTCAATTCACACAATAATTCAAATTTAGATCTGCGTTAACTGGAATCTTTTAGCTTTCAAGTTGCTTAATTTTGGCCCTCGTTTACATGGATGCAGTATTCAGTGTTTGGTTCCATTCTGACTTTTGGTGCCATGATCGGTGCAATCACAAGTGGCCCTATTGCTGACTTTATAGGTCGGAAAGGGGTAAGCACACAGAACTACCTGTTTATGACTTCAATTTAGATTATTTTCTTTCGGTGGAATATCTATCAGGAATGCAAATGGGAATGATAAGGCTCTTATTTTTACCATGTGCTTGAAAGATGCCATTTAACATGATTTACTATGTGGAATGCATGCAGGCAATGAGAGTTTCAAGTGGTTTTTGTGTCGCGGGATGGCTTGCTATTTATTTTGCTGAGGTTTGTATAATTCTTTATCTCTCAATTCATCCTCTTATCAGCTGCAGAGTACAGTTTTCCCAGAAGTGTGACGTTGACTAACTTTCTGTCTTGATTAAAACAAAAGGGGGCAATACCTTTGGATTTAGGAAGACTGGCAACAGGATATGGAATGGGAGTCTTTTCTTATGTGGTACCAGTTTTTATAGCTGAAATTGCACCCAAGAATCTTCGAGGAGCACTAACAGCTGTCAATCAGGTCAAAATATGTACATAGCATAACTGGAGAGAAACCTATTTTGATTTTGAAAGATTTATGAATTATGCAGATCCAATTAGAAGAGGAAGAGTAAATAAAGAATGTACCTGAATTTTCCTCTATTGTTATACAGCTTATGATCTGTACTGGAGTGTCTGTTGCCTTCATAATTGGGACAGTAATAACGTGGAGGGCTTTAGCTCTAACAGGTAAAACTAAGATCATTTATATATTCAACTTTCAGAAAATTAGAGAAAGAATAAGACACTATGAATGATACTGTAATGGAAGACTCACCGAGAAAGTGCTTGCAGGACTAGTCCCATGTGCTATTTTGCTTTTCGGTCTCTTCTTCATTCCAGAGTCTCCTAGATGGCTGGTAGGAAACATGAACATCCTACTAGAATGATAAGATGTATACATTGAGTAAGCATGACTTTATACTGAATGCAGGCAAAGACAGGAAAGGGTAAAGAGTTTGAAGTTGCACTACAGAAACTCCGTGGCAAGGATGCTGATATATCAGAAGAGGCATTTGAAATCCAGGTATTATCTTTGACTAAATATCCCATTTCATAGACTATGCGTTTTTAGAGCGCTGCATATTGAAATTTGAGAGGAAATATCAAAAGAAGTTTTTCTATCATTGCTTGACAGGACTACATAGAAACTCTTGAACGACTCCCAAAAGCCAAATTGCTAGATTTATTTCAAAGAAGATACTTGCTCTCAGTCATTGTAATTTTTCTCTATCAACCTTTATTACAATCATTTTTCTTCATTTGCTTCATAATCTAAGAACTCAATTCTCTTTACTGTGATTCAAATTAACCAGATTGGAGTCGGACTGATGGTCTTTCAACAATTTGGGGGAATCAACGGAATCTGTTTTTACACCAGCTATATATTCGAGTCAGCAGGTACAGAATTTTACCAGGATTGTTTTCCCTTTAAATAAATTATAAAAGATCTTAGGCAAGGTCTTTTAACACGAAAATGATGGGGAACAACGGAAAATCTCAACGTTTTGATGCCTCTCGATTAAGCTTTTTTATCTGATTAATCTATTATAACAGTATTATACTTTATACAGCAGAAGTTTACCTTCATTTTCCAAGATAAAAAACAATTTTTTGTCACCGTTAATAGTTGGTTGTTATACTTATACATGTAATGTCTCAGGATTTTCTGCCAGCATTGGAACTATAATCTATGCCATTCTTCAGGTTTCTATCTCTCAACAACTCCAACAATTTCTTGGAAAAGTAAATATTTTAGACCAATAAAATAGCCTGACATAATGATATTCTGCAGGTTATTGTTACTGCTCTGAATGCAGCTGTGATCGACAGAGCTGGAAGAAAACCCTTATTATTGGTATATTAATGCAAACGACAGTAACATCTATGAATTTTCTCAGAAATCCCTCTATGTGCCGAATTTTAAATATTATTTTCTTCGCCAATTTCATTCTAGGTTTCTGCAACAGGATTAGTTATGGGCTGTTTACTCACCGGGGTTTCATTCTTTCTGAAGGTAACTGTAAAAATATTGGCCCCGACAAATTCGTTAAAGTTTCTTTAGAAGTAACGTGCTGAGGATCTTTTGTAAACCAGGTTCACGAATTGGCTCTTTCGTCGGTTCCTGCTCTTGCTGTGACCGGCATTTTGGTAGTAGCAACGCCTTTTAATATATATAGCCACTCTGTTTTAACACCAGAAAATTTTGAATTTCATATTTTCCTAGTTAACTCGGACAATTTTCTCTGTGCTTAGGTCTACATATGTTCTTTTTCCGCTGGAATGGGTGCAGTTCCTTGGGTCGTAATGTCTGAGGTAAGTAAGATTTGGAAGACTTTATCATTCATTAACTGTTTGGCGTTAATTCCACCCATCTGAAAAAGGGATTCTCTTGCAGATTTTTCCTATAAACATTAAAGGAGCAGCTGGAAGCCTAGCAACATTAGTCAACTGGTTTGGTGCATGGGCGGTGTCCTACACTTTTAATTACCTCATGACCTGGAGCTCTTATGGTAAACTCTACACAAAACAAAATTAACCTTTTTCTTCTATGAAAAAAATGTGGCATTACCTAGCCAGACTGAACGTTGTTGTTACCAAAAATATCAAATATGCTGTACACTGATGACATCAAAACATCATGAGAGCTGCAAATTACTAATTTTTACTGATGTGTGCATGTGGTTTTCAGGTACCTTTCTTCTTTATGCTGCAATCAACGCTTTGGGTATATTGTTCGTGGCTACAGTCGTACCTGAAACAAAGGGGAGAACCCTGGAGCAAATTCAAGCAGCCATTAATAGATAGGGAGGCAGAAATGGAATAAAGACCCTTGTTTCTAGGAATTTCTCCTTTATACTTTTGACTGCACCATCATAAACATTCACAGATGGAAAATGTTTCAGAACAAGAATCAAAGGGAGTTATCCCCTGAAACAATTCAGGGGATGGATACTGAAATCCAAGTTATTTGCTGAAAAAAAAAAAACAGTTATTTATTAAGAATCAATGAAAAATTATTAGCATTGATGAAGTAGAAATACTAACAAGCCTAGACTGAACGGCAGAAAACATTCATACAGGTGTGTTTGTTTTACATAACATACACAATCGGAAATTTCATATGATTCCCAATTGCATTGATTAACAATTGATGCTGGTTGCACATAGATAATCTGGAAACTCGATTAGAGTTCTAAAACTGGCAAGATTATAAATTTCAAAGCATACAGAAGACATATAGAAGACTCTTGCACATTAACCAAACTTCAGTTATTCACTCTGTAGTGCACTATAATCAGAAACCATCCGGTAAGTTGATAGCATTATTAGAGCTGGAAAATATATCAATTCCATTGATCAGCTAGGGAGGCTACTTTTATCCGCGGAAGCAACACATGCTTGATCATGCCACCCAACCCATTAACAATCTAAATCATCCAAACACAGAGTCAGAAGAGAACATCCTTCCAGAAATTGAACAATTTCACAGTTTCTTATGATCTTAGGTGGTTTATATTGACTAGCTGGTGCTCCATTCTCAATGGCTACTTGAAACAACCTTTCAAAGCTACTGGGTTTCAAAATGGATATCGATAGAGGGCTTACTGCACCTTTATCCCTTTGCACTTTATATATGCTTCCCAACTCATCCTCAAGTGAGGAACAACACCTCCTTAGAAGTACAACTGCCTCTGGTAACTTCTCCTCCTGAAGAAAAATGCAACCCTCTCTAATTTCCAGAAAAATTATTAGCTTCTTTGGGCTCAACTCCAAGTTAATGAAACTTGCAAACTCCACAATCTCAGCAGCCATAACATTTCTTAGCACCTTTTGAAAACTTTCCATGGCAGACATCAAGTCTCTCTCAGTTATTATGTCAAAAGAACTTTTTGGAGCTCTCATCACAAACTCCACTTCTGGAGAAGAATTATAGAAACCAACAACTTTCACAATATCACCTAAACGGTACCTATAAAATCCTCTATAAGTAGTCACAACCACTTCATACATCTTCCCGACCTCAACTCCAGAAAAATCAACAGTTTCTTCACTTACAATCTCACTCTTCTCCAAATCAAATGGAAGAAACTCAAAATAGGCTGCAGTTGGAAGCATAACAAATCGTGTTGTCTCTGGAGGTTGCACAATATCCAAATTAATACCCACACAACATTCTGAAGCAAAATAATCTCCTCCCAAAACAGGAACCTCTCCTGCATAATACTTAACTTTTGAACAATATTGCCTCATACTTCCAGTTGTAACACACCTAATGTAACGAACATTAGGCCATAATTTACTCACAATCCCGCTCCAGTTACTTTCCCGACAAATTGATCGAATCCTTTCTGACAAATCTGGTCGTGGCCCACCAAGAACCTCAGTAACAGAATCTCTCATTGAATTGTCACAAATATCCAAATACGGATACCCATTTCTGAGATCATCACATAACTGCTCCCATTTAGATTCTAAAAAACTAAATGCTCTAATCAAGCCTACGGCATACGGATTTATAATTCCATCAATAATTTCAGAGTTCCTAAGACCACAAAGAAGGTGGCAATACATTTGGTGCTCCACATTTGATCCAAGAATGACTTCCCGGGGACTAGAGAGATAGCTAAATCGAGACCAGCTCTCATTTCTACTTCTATACAGAGGAAAAGTAGAGGCGGCCATAACCTTAAATCCACCTTTCGTTGTTGTTATATTGTCCGCGTAAATAAAACATAGGATCTTATTAACATCCTGCTTGAGGGGAAACAACCTACATGAAAGTTCAAAATTTAAATCAGGAAAAAAAAGAGAGAATATCATTAATTTATATACATGTAATTAACATAAATCAGTAACAAAATGAGACCTTCGAAGAACAGCAGCACTGCCTTGGTGAGCTAAGTGTGAAGCAGCTTTCGAGAGAGCTGAGTCAAAATATGGAATCAATTTCGGCTTCATAGAACTTGTCCCAGAACTGTCACAATATTTAAAAGTCAAAGATGTATAATTTCTTTATTTGATTCGGTTGAGCAAAGATTGATTTTTTTTTTTTTTTTTTAACCTGTAAAAGAAGCAAACCAACGGGTCAACGGAGAGGAGAGGCTGATTGTCGTGATCGTGATCGTGATCAAGGGAGCCACTGGCCAATTGATTGATGTGATAAGCGTAGTCATCGTAGGAAGATAACGGCACAGCACACTTGAAAGTTGCGGCGTCGATGGATGTATGATTGGAAGCCGAAAGTGAGAGGTGGGATTGGAGATAAAGTACAGGGCTTTGGTGTTGAAGGATTGAGTGAAGAGTTTCTAGCTGGTGATGATTAGCGTTCTTCGTGGACTCCTCTAGCTTGTTTAGGATTTCCCCGTCTGTCATCATGTTGGAGTGGGCAGGGAGGGCAGTGAGCTCACGGTGGCAACCGGCGTTTTTGTAGGCGGACTCCGCGGAAGCGATACCAATTTAAATAAACAATACAGTAACGAGTAGTTTGTGACGTCTTTGGTCTAAAATTCAGTGGAGTCAAAGATGACAATTTTCCTGTTGACTACGAGAGTATTTATAAAAATTATAAAATTAAATTAAAAATAAAATAAAATAGATTACTTATCAATATTTTTGAAATTATAAACATTAGGAAAATCAAAACCAAAGCGTGCAGTGGAGCAAAATTTGGGCAGTTGCCGTTATTTGAAGAATACCACGTTGGCATGTCGTTGCCGTTTAGAAAAGGTGATGCGTTTTTGTAGGAAATTTTTTAATAAAACATATAATAATTCAAATAAAACTAATGCGTTTGATTAATTTCTAGCTATACCCCCCTAATCTCGTTAAATAAAACATGATATAATACCACTTATTTATACGAATACCTCAATTGGCGAAACACCCCAAAAGTCTTAGAATTTATACACCTCAAGAGTTTTAGAGTTATGAGTAGTAGTATTTGATTTAATTGATTATTATTACGATTACTAGTTTAAGTAGAACTAGAGTTTGGCTACTGTATAAATCTCCCAAGAAAATCTCTTTCTTTCAAATTTCTTCTTCCTTAGATTTAGTTAGTAGTGATTTCGTTGGTTCATGTTCATATTTAATTTTGATTCTTGGAAAGAAATTACTTTTAATTAACTATGTGTTCCCCCAAGAAATCCAGTTCCTCCGCCTCAAAGAACCGACACCCTGACCAGCCTCGCCGGAATGATACGTCACCATCCGGGGAAGGCATTGATGAATCACGTACCGCCAAAGCCAACACCATTCTTGGAAAAAACTTTGCGGCTGCCGGAGTCAACATTAGTGGACAAAGTCTTGCAGTCGACAACATTCTTGGACAAACCCTTGCGGCTGCCGGAATGAGCACTATGGGAGAACTGAGGCCTCGAGGAACTGAGAAAGGAAGTACGGACTGGTACAAGATGTGTACTGAAATCCTAGGGTCTGAGAGCTTGGATGATATCATTGATCACTCTTCTTTGAGCATGTCAAGGTCAAGCGTATCAAGTTTGTCAAGAATGTGCCGGCTGAAGATGAGAGGGAATACGAACTTGAAAGATTTCCCGTCCTTTTTGTCTACACTGGACAGTAACGGACGGCCAAGATTCGGTTACGAGAAAGAGAGGAGAGATGGACGGTTGACTATGACTACGATTATGGTCGCAAACGATAATCCGGAGATTTTCCCTCGTGTTGATGTTGGTGACAGCGAGGAAGTGGAGCTGAATATGTTGAGAAGTGGTGATGAAAAAGATAATGATCAAAGATTAGAATGAGGAGGTAGTTAAGAGTTAATTTTTTAGATTTTTCTTCTAACTGAAGTTGGCGGAAAATTGGCTGGTAAAGTTGGAGGGATGGAGAGGTTTTGAGCCAATGAGTTTTTAGGTTCGAATATAATACACATTATTAGCTAACAATTTGACGTCCTGAAATTCATATATATATATTTTGCTGGTCGTTGGTAGATATTTTACTTTCTCCTTGGACTTGAATGTGATTTTATATAAATGGAGCCCAAGCCCATCAATGGGCACATTTTGCTTTTACCCATACTCAAAAGGTTGGGCTCTCCAAACAGCATTGAACTTTAAAATTCAAATCGGCCATTCATTATTAATTTTTGTATTTTAAAAGTTAGGATAGATTATATCAATGTATTAAAATTAGCGTTTCTTCGCATTTACATGATATAATAAAAAAAAATTGTGTTCTCTAATAATTTTAATATATGCTATGAGGATACGGCTTCTAATTTATATGAGAATTGATTTGTTAATATCATACCACTTTTGTATTCTTTACATTATTATTGATTTGAGAGACATCATAGTATATAAGTAGGGAAGATTACATTTTTTATTTGTTATTTGTAAGTATCAGTTACAACTATGTTTTCTTTGTTATAATTTAAGATGATCAATTAGCTCAGGATTTGACCTCTTACACAAATATTTTCAATATTCACCTCTTAATTACATTAAATACTTGTATTTGTTGGAATATTTTATTAAATTGAATGAAATAAATGGAATGAAAATGGTGGTGTAAGTTGAGAATTTGAAAGGTGAAAGGTTAGTGGATTAATGGAGGAAATTTTAAGAATTGGAAAGTAAAAGGCAGAATTCAATGTTTTGTCCTACCTTCAGTAGTATAAAAATGTGTTCTTCCTCTCATTTCAAACACACCAAAAAAAAAAAATCGAGAGCTCTTTCAATCTCTTATTTTCTTTCTAGTTTTTAAAGTTTTCTTTTGTTAGAGTTAAAGTTTTATTCAATTCGTTAGAATAGAAGAGTAGTGTTTCTCTTGCTATTCATCTGTCGTTGTATCTTGGGAAACAGACGCTGTTCAAATCCTTGTGCATCCAAGTGAAGGAGACGAATATGTTTTAAGGAAACTGTGCATTACACAGGCCTCGGCACTCTTCCTAAGATTGTATTCTTTGGATTTCATCCTATCATTCTGAAGGATTTCCTACACAGGATTAAGTTGTTGGTATTGTTAATTTTATTGTATTGTCTTTTTATTTTATTGACAGTTAATTCTATTGTTTTATATTAAAAAGATTTATTATTTGCGGTTACTAATATAATAGTTGATTATTTTATAACAATAATTTTTTTTATAACAATCTTAAAACAGATTTGACTTTATTAGTAATCGTAATTTATTTTGTGAAAAACATTGTGTTTTGATATTCCCAAATGTCGCAGTCCTTGTGCAATAAAAGTGTGGTGATGAAATTTGAACAGCACGATTTAGAGAAATTTTGTCTAGGAGACTGGATTTTAAGAGGGACCGTTTGTGGCCCCTCAAATGTTTCTAGGGAATTATCTTTTGACTACTGTTCAAAAATTCACATAATAATTTTTTGGTTTGGATTTTTCAGAAAATGACATCTGAATCAAACACTGGTTATGTGTCGAACCAAGTTGTGGCTCCCACACCAACTCATGTGGCACCGGCCTCTATTCCTATGAACCATGTGAAAAACCAAAACAATTCAGTGGAATTCATTTCAAGAGGTGGCAACAAAAGATGTTTTTCTACTTGACCACCTTGAATCTTGTGAGATTCTTGACTGAGGATGCTCCTACGCTCAAAGAAGATGAGCAAGATATTCAAGTTATCAGTGTTATTGATGCTTGGAAACATTCTGAATTTTTGTGCCAAAATTATGTCATGAATTGTTTGACAGATTTATTGTATAGTCTGTATGCTTTGAAGTAAACGGCCAAAGAATTATGGGAGTCTTTAGACCGTAAATATAAAACTGAGGATGCTGGGTCCAAAAAGTTTGTGGTGGGATGATTCCTCGATTATAAAATGGTGGACTCAAGAGCAGTTATCAGTCAAGTGCAAGAGATCCAGTTGATTTTACATGAAATTCATTCTGAAGGTACGGTGCTAAGTGAAACTTTCCAAGTAGTTGTCGTCATTTAGAAACTACCTCCTGCATGGAAAGATTTCAAGAACTATCTTAAGCACAAGCGAAGGGAGATGAATCTTGAAGAACTCATTGTTAGACTTCAGATTGAAGAAGACAACAGAAGTTCTGAAAATAGAGGGTTTACTCCTGCAGCAGCAAAAGCAAATGTTATGGAGCATGGTCAGAGTTCTAATTCTAAGAAGATAGGGAAAAAGGCCAAGCTGGGGCCAAAAGGAGGCATCTCTAAGAAGCCAAAAAAGTTCCAAGACAAGTGTTTTAATTGTGACAAGATGGGTCACAAAGCTTCCGATTGTAGAGTGCCAAGAAGAAATCGAATCAAAGAGGCAAATGTTATGGAGAATATTACTCAGGATGTCTCTGACATAAGTCTCTCTGCGATGGTTTCAGAAGTGAATCTGGTTGGGTCTAACCCAAGAGAATGGTGGCTTGACATTGGAGCCACTCGGCATGTCTGCTTAGCAAAGGGCTATTTAATTCTTTTGAACCAAATGAGAATGGGGAAAAGTTGTATATGGGAAATTCAGCTACTTCAGAGATTGAAGGCCAAGGAAGGGTGGTCTTAAAGATGACATCTGGGAAAGAGCTAACTCTGAACAATGTTCTGTATGTGCCAAATCTACTAATGAATTTGTGTTCACACTAGGAGGTGCAACAGTATCATGGAAATCCTCTAAACAAATTGTTATAGCCAGGTCCACTATGGAATCTGAATTTATTGCTCTGACTAAGTGTGGTGAAGAGGTTGAATGGTTACGCCAATTCTTAAAGGATATTCCAAAGTGGCCAAAGCCTATGCCACCAATCTGCATTCATTGTGATAATCAATCTGCAATTGGAAACAAAGCAATATGTATAATGGTAAGTCTAGACATATACGTCGTCGACATAATACCATTAGACAACTACTCTCAACAAGAATTATCTCTATTGATTATGTGAAATCAAAAGATAATTTAGCGCATCCGCTAACCAAAGGGTTAAATAGAGAGGTAGTTGAAAAATCATCAAGAGGAATGAGACTAAAGCCCATGAAATAAGTCGATATAATGGAAACTCAACATAATTGATTGGAGATCCCAAGATTTAGGTTCAAAGAGACAACTTAATTATAAAGACTTAGATAGATCACTGTGAGAGGTACTCTCAATCCGCTCCTATGATTAAATGAAATAGTGATGCTCCTAAGGAATAAGGTTAAGCGAAAGCTTTTAATGATTCTTATGCGTCGGGTTTCCAAGCAGAGTAATGCGGGTTACTCTTAAAGAAATCACATATGTGAGAAAGAAATAGGGTCGCTTCTAATGGGAATTGTATAGGGCTCAATTCTTAGGAACTTCTCGCAGAACCACGGGTATGTTCATGGCCAAAACGAACATAATAATGAGAACTGAATAACGTCAAGGAGGATTCTTGTGTGAACTATGTCATCATTTACATAAATAACAAATTAGTTAAATGACATCATGTCTACTATTCAGTCAGTAAAGTAAACATACTTTCACAAGGGAAGGTTCAAAGGGTAACCCCTACCTATCCTATGCAAGTCCAACCGTTTAAACTCCATCACT